GAGTGTGTGTGGGGGGGTGGGGGGGGGTGGGGTGGGTGTGTGTGTGTGTGTGTGCTTTTGCTCGTGAAAGCACATAGGTGTATTAACCTACATCTATCGGAACACTTGCATTTATTCATTCATCTGCACTACCGCTCTCACACACACCGGCCGTACTATTTAACAGGCTGATGCGACCATTTGAATACATTACGTATCACAAGACAGTCACCCACTGAGCTCATACTTCCAATCAATCGTCGAATCTCTTTATGTGTATATTGTTATCTATACTCTCTCACTCTCAATATGCTTCTGCTAAGCAGTTTCCGTCCTTATATTGAATAATCTGTACGCCCACATACACACATACACACACACATTCACACACACTCACACACATCCACACACCCACACTCACACACATCCACACACACTCACTCACACACACCCAGGTCGTACTGTCCAACGGACTGATGCGGCCGTTGGTGCACATTGCACACAATGACGAGTACCGTGTGAGTGAGGAGGCCATGTGGGCCATCACCAACGCCTGCTGTGGCGGATCACCATCGCAAATCAGGTACATCTCTTACCTACAACTAGTGACTGTAGTACTACGTACACACGGTTACCCATGACTATAGCACTACGTACATCTCTTGCGCATGATAAAAGCTCTACGTACATCTCTTACCCATGAGTATATTATTAGGTATACATCTCTTACCCATGACTATATCTATACGTACATCTCTTGCCCATGACTATAGCTCTACGTACATCTCTTACCCATGACTATATCATTATGTATACATCTCTTACCCATGACTATATCATTATGTATACATCTCTTCCCATGACTATTTCTCTATGTACATCTCTTGCCCATGACTATAGTACATCTCTTACCCATGACTATTTCTCTATGTACATGACCATAGCTCTACGTACATCTGTTGCCCATAAGTATATCACTATGTATATGTTACTTACAACTATTGACTACATCACTACGTACACACCATTACACATGGCTATAGCACTACGTACACACGCGGATGACCATGTCACTACGTACACAGGCGGTAGGTTATTAGTATGTAAACTTGACTCCAGGCGTCTCGTCTCGTTGCCTATACCCTCAGTGTGCATATGTGCTTTGAAATAAATGTCTGATCCGCTGGGCAAATGGCCTGTGTGCGACCCTACCCCACTCAGCACGTATCCTGCGCAAGGGTGCTTTGAGTTGTAATCCCGTGTACACACACACTCCACGTGTGCATTGGGTGGGGTATCTATGTGCCAGAGCGATGTTAGTATGTATACCTTATATTCGATCTCCAGTGTAAGTGTGTGTGGACAACGAAAATTGTAGAGTATGTGGCAAGGCAGATGTTCTGTGCGGGGATGGCTAGGTGCTGTGCAAGTATTTGGGCCCATACTGCAGCTTATACTAAATTCATCGCCTGTTGTTAGGTTTTAGGGTTTTAGGGGGAGGTAGGCATTCATACCTTCCCGATTCAAAGTGACGTTCTTCAAAACAAAACGTTCAAACAGTAATCGTAGATGTACGACTTGTGGCCCCTGTACATAGAACCTTTGTGTGTGCCTCCGTGAAAGTTCTGTACAATAATCACTTCTCCTCCTCACACTCAGGGACACCCAGCTTATCAGACTATTCACACCACAGCACGCTACAGTTATGTTGACATTGGGGTAAAGAGATGGTAGGGACAAGCACCTTACATGATATGCATAGCATCTGAAGACACTCAAGCATGTGACTATAGGTAGATGCATACACATGCACACATGCACTCGTATATGTTACCTGGCGCTTGGACAGGCCCGTGTGCCATGTATATCTGAGTGTGTCTGTAATGCTCGCTTCGCTTCTTCTGTTTTTGTCAGGATTGTCGTGGATGAAGGCGGCCTTAAGCAGATGTGCCAATTCTTGAGCAAGGACGGGGCTGTGGCATCGGTATTGGTATGTGGGCATAAATATATATATATATATATATAGTGTATATATATAGTCATATACACACACACACATATATATATATTTCTGCATACGCAGTACTGGACTTAATTCATATAGCATAGTATAGGATCCGGACCATTACCATACAAATGTGATACCCATCACCAAATGCTGCTGTACTCGAATACGAATATAGGTGTTGCACTCGGGGTAGGTGGGATGTAAAAGTGTAGCGTGCATCTAAATCCACACATATTGATATGCCATTGCACGCGTACGCAGGTGGTGGTCATGGACGCCATATATGCAACACTGAAGTCGGCGGAGAACGAGCGCGTGCTGCTTATGTATACAGAGATCATTGAAGAAGAGGATGGCATCGACAGGATGGATGCTTTACAGGTGAGTGTGAAACCTCGCCTATACTTATCTGATCTCTCCGTGTGTGTATGTGTGTATATGTGTGTTATAGTGTATCGGAGGGTCGACCAGCTTGCTGGGATGGCTTATTCCCGTGTAAGTGTGTGTTTGTCTACAGCTAACGTTGAGAATGCGCGGGAGCTGCTGTATGTATACAGAGGTCATTGAAAAAGTGGATGGCATAGCCCGGATGATTGCTTGGCCGATTGGTTACCACTCACATGGCCATCTATGTGTGTGTGGAACTAATCAGATCATCTATACTTTGCTAGTTTGTGCCCGTGTGCGTCGGTTGTATACAGAGGCCATTGAATACTCATGCAGCACCTGTGACTACGTCTGCACACAGCAGCACAGCAGCAAAATAGGATATCAAAGAACCCAGGAAATCTATATAGTCATACCCCTCTATGAGAACAAGGCGGCTATGATATAGTATTCCTAATTTAGATGCCTTCCCTGTCTCTTTTGTGTCTAAACACCACACCACAACTCTGAGCGAGGGCCCATTCCAGTTATTTATTAAGCCCTATTTTAAAACCATAGCCCTAATTTTCAATGAACTGAAAACCTGCTCTACACTGAAGCGAAACTCGAATCATTATAATAGTCCTAATTTATATTTAAATTCTGGTTCTCCGTCTGTACGCAGTGCCACATCTGTGCGCGAGTATCCATTCCAATCGTTGGTTAGGCCTATTTTTAAATTATAGTCCTGATTTTCAATGAACCCGAAATCTGCTCTACGTCCGCACAGAACACCAATGCGTGAGAAAACATGCCTCAAGAGCTCGTAAATCCTTTGAATTAGAATTTTGGGTTCATCCAAAACTGTCCTGTGTTCGCACACAGCCTGTACTTTTAAGTTGGCCCTGATTTTTTTTTCTTTAAGCCTGTCTTATCATCGCCCACAGTACACACCAGTAAGAAAGCAATACACTGTGCCTTTTTTTTCTCGATCTTATTCTAATTTGTATCCAAAACCTGTCTTGATTTCCCCCACAACAGCACCACAGCAGTGAAAAAGTATACCAAATAGCCAACAGAATAATTAGTGAGTACTTCTCAGCCAACGATGACAATTTAGAATTGATGGAACCAGAAGTGGGTGCGGACGGCCAGTTGTCGTTCAACGCTCCAGCAAAGGGTAGCAACTTTAACTTCTGAGGTATGTTTTTGGTATGTGGCCTCATCCCCAGCTGTATTTTTAACGCTAAAATTATTCCCAGCTGTATTTTTAACGCCAAAATCATCTCCACGCGTACCTTGATGTGATTCCAACTTGGCAGGATGTACTGCGTTATTTATATCACCCGACGTATACGTTTATGTGATTACAGCTCTGCCGTATATGATTGCTAGCTTCTATGTATATCCTTTTGTTCGTTGTGAGCATGTATAGCCGCCCCGGCCTGTATTTGACCAACATTATGTGTTTGTTTGGGTTGTGTGCTCTTGTATTTACTCTCGAGCGTGTTTTTGCTCTCAAGCCCAACTCTATGTCGAGTGGGAATTCACACACCTGTCCTGGCCATCTCAGCACCTCTATGCGTCCATTGCGTATTAGTATCTGCTTACTCAGTGTCTTTCTCGTCACCGTGTTGTGTGCAATTACTTGCTATGCTGCATACTTGCTTTCTGCTCGAGAAATGATCTTCATTATGGGTGCCCGTATTTGGACTGCAATGCTCAATTGTCTTCCGTCGTATCGATATCGAACTGCTTTGCGTTGGCCACGCTTCCTCCGCAGAACGGCTGAGCGTCGCAATTTAGTACGGAAATGGCCACTACCAAGAGTATTGAGCGGACTCGAAATCAACCGTTCGTGGTGGGTGCAGAGACAACTGTGTCCACCAAAGCACAGACTCTCAAACTCATGACCTCGGAAGCATCTCACAATAAAGCAAGCATGTGTTTGAGACATGTCGCAAATTCTCATAGCACTACCGTCACGTTCCAAATACAGTGCTCGGATACCGCGTGTGCGTGTTGTGCTTGTTGTGTATATATGTGGTCGAGTATAGAGTATAGCTTACACACAGAGAATGGCAAGAGCGTGGCAATCGCGCACTGCACATGAGTGGTATGCAGCACTCTGTGGTGTCCAGTCCAGCGATTAGCTGAGCAAACAGTTCAGTACATATTCATATTATTCTGGGAGCACTAAATTGGTCGTATTCATATTAATCTGGGAGCACTAGAATGGCGAAGGTCGCCACCAATGTCTACAATGTCTACATCGACGCCAATACAATTTTGGCGATGTTTGTGGAACTTCTAGGCATTTCAAAAAAAACCCCAATTGGAAGTGCGAGCCCACGGAATCCTACCACAACGGTCGTACGGAGGGGTTGTGTATGGCGCATGCCATTTTAGTTTCTGGAAGTACCTTGCTCAGCGCGTGTGTAATTTGGCCGGGTTCGCTTCCTACGGATGGTACCTATGTAGGCGGCCTAGTATGTACGATCGGGGTGAGGTTCTGAAATCGCTTTTCTCGACGCACAACTGCTGAGGGTTGCAATTGGGTCTTTCTCACAATCGGTGCAGTGGAATGGTCAGTGTAGTGAACAAGTACATCAGCACAATGTCACGACAATGATGACCATATACGTTGCCAGATTATGTACCAGCTACGAAAATATAAAACATTAGAAACTAATTGCCCAAAAGATTCCTCCAAGATAACCTTCAGTGTACATCCCGCAACTGACATGTCCTTCGTTTTCGTTCTGTGTTCGCCAACCCCGCGTAAATCGTCGTACAGTTCTCGCAGTCTCCACACTGGACTAGTTATAATTGCCAAATGATTTGATGGGTGAACTCGGCATTGACACTCGCAGTGCCTAAATTACGTATTAAAGTAATAAGCGTTACGCCACAGCGGAATTGGGCTCTACATACTGCTTGGTACACCGTAATGTGCGTGTTGGCCAGGATGCTAGGATTGAAGACAGAAGATTTCACAATTTTTGCTATCCGCCAGAACGGTCTGCTACTCATTTCCTGTTATCATTTGTTGCATTTTGTTGACTAAGCACCGCATTTCTAGTTCAGTTGTAACATTCCATTAAATGATAACAGGTACATGTTCTTTAGCATGATCTTTGAATGCGTTGCCTAAAAATCAAGTCTGCTTAATAAAGACATGATATACGCTGACACGCTTCCAAATGAAGAATGTATGTTTTATTCCAATTCCCACACTATACAGTATCCGACCTAGTAGGCTGGATAGTGGTATTCAAGAAGACTGACAGTTGTCGGTTCTCAAATTCTGACTAAACTTGTTCCTTTCAAATCCAATTTTGATAGTGAGATCATGCCACAACTTCGGTTTGCATCATGAATAACACATCAGCACTATCCATTTCCATCTCTGGGTACTTTTGCTCCACTTCAAAGTGTGCACCTTGACCAGTCTCGTCAACTGATGACCAGGGTCCGAAATTGCATGCGCACGTAAGACCTTCCATAGCAGGGCCTACTCCCGGAGTGTCATCAGGCCAGAAATAGGTAGGCAGTCCACCGAACAACACACCCTCATAGGCAGAAATAGTAACATATCCGTCCATTCGGAAGATAGAATCCGCTGGAACCGAATCGTCGAAGCTAACTG